GAGGGGCCCAGAGGAGGTCAGTGTCTCTTTTAAGCACAATTTCTGGTCATCACCATGTTGTCACCAGGTTTAGTCTGCTGGGAGCTGGAGAGGGCGCCCCATGCTTTCTACTTGGCAGGCTGAGTTTGAGTGAAATGTGGAAAACATGTTTATTGTGCCTTTCTTCTTACAACATTCCCACCCTGAGGCCAGAGAGTCTGTGCTTCTTCAATCTTGGAGCTTCTGAGACGTCCCCAGTGACCTGTCAGGACGGACTGTCTCAAGAACTTGGAATATTCTCAGCCTATTGTTGCACACGAGGCGTCCAGAGGCTCCCAGATGTGTATCTGGCCCTACAATCCTATTTGCATCTTCCTTTGTGGGTGAACCATGAGACGTGTACTTCCTCTGCCCTCAGCCTGTGCTGACAGGAAGTGAATGCTGGCTGGGGCCAGATGAATGAATGAAGAGTTGTAGCATATCCCACTGGAGATCCGGATCCTCACAGCCCCTCTTTGCTGAAAACCAACTGTGTGCCAGGCACTTCACTAGGTGCTCTGCATGTCGTCATCCTCAGTCTTCCCGCGAGCACTGAGCACTGCTCTTAAGGTCTCATCTTGAAGAGCAGCCCAGAGGAGCAGAGTGCTGCCTGTGTCCCCAGGAGGAATGGGACCAGCCAGCCCATCTTGTCACCATGCAGCCCCTGCCAGAGTCCTATCATCATCACTCTGTGTAAATCCCCGTGCCCTTCTCTGAAGTGACTTAAACAAATGAAAGTCTGAACAGTGTGTATGGGGCGTCTACAGTTACCGGATGCCATGCTGGATTGTGTGGCTTGTCTCAGTTCTCAGGACAAAGCAGCAGAGTTGCAGTTAAAATTTGAAATTGAGTTCTGGGTTCAAATCCAGATTGTGCAGCTTCCTAACTAATCACCCTATCTCTACTTTAAGAACCTAATGAGCTACTGTATGTACAAGACTTAGAAGAGTGCCTGGCTCTGTTCTCAAGAAACAGTCTCCAGGGTACTTTGTCAGTGTGTGAGTGAGTGTGTGGGTGTATTCCATTTTATACACGAGGAAGCTGATTCTAAAAGCAGTTAAATAACTTGTTCAAGTTCAGTCAACTAATAAATGACACTCGTAGATATGCCATCTGTCTCCAAGGCAGCCATGATGTGGCTGAACATCCTAAAGGTCCGCAGGATGACAGTATCTTTTACTTGGAGAGCTCTTTTCCTAAGCAGGTGCTCACTAACCTTGTTTCCTGCGTTTATCACCGTCCCTGGAAGCTGGTCCATTCTCTGTGTTTTGACATCACTGTCTGCAGTCCTCTACAATCAGGCACCAGGCTGCACAGACAACCTTTGGCTTCTCCTGATCACCTGCTGGGTTCGCAATCAGAGTGACTTTTTTTGTTCCTGTTTCAGACCTGCTGAATCAGAATCTTGGCGGTGGGGCCCCAGCGTTACATTTTATCTAACTCCCTGGTTAGTTATTTGTTCACCAAGTGGGAGAGCCTGCATTGCCCCATGTGCTTTCCCAAGACAAAATAAGGGTTAACGGAGAGACACCGAGTGGTGGAGATAAAATCCATTTTATTTATTTAACAAAAATGTATTGGGAGCTAACTAGGTCCTAGGTATCTTGCAGAAACTTAAAAATATCCAAACACATCATAAAAACAGCAATATAATCAGTATTTGTGAGATGCATTCATAATGGTTTAAAAGTACTCATATCTCTCATTTCAACAACTCTGTGAGGCAGTGTCTATGGAGCTGGAACTTGGAGCTGGGCCTCATACTCCTGGCCCCTCGGCCCCTCTGGTGTGAACTACGACAGGAAAGGAGGGCAGGGATCATGGGTGCATAACTGCACGGGGAGCTGGGGAGGACTTCCCAGAGGGGGGCTTGTCCCCACTGGGTGGCAGCATTCCATCACTCATTTGGGGGCAGAGAGAGACTGAAACTCTGCAGATGTGTCTGCCTCCCATGGCAGGACTGTGGGGGGCATTTTGTTCCCACCGTGCAGACTGCTTGGAGTCCCCACCAAGGCTGAAAAGTGGTTCACCCTGGAGGGGAACTAGAGCCACAGCTGGGGACAGCAGAGTGCTAATAAGGTTGCATAGGAAAGCAATGACTCCCAAAACCGAACAGAAACATCATTCTCTGCAACTCACTGGGCCCATAAAAATCCCTAATTTAGTCCTGGTCCTGGGAGAAACCCCAGCAAAGCTATCTTTCTTTAACATAACTTTCAGCCCAGAGCGATCCTAAATTGCATCCACTAAAGCCTCATTCTCCCCATGGTGTTGCCGGTAAAGTTGACCAGTGAGTCTCTTCCCAGCGCCCTCGAAGTGCTTGTTAGCTGATCCTAACCTGCATCACAGAGAACAGAGACCCCAGGGAGGGCCTGGAGCAGTCCGCAAACTCGGTGCTCGGTGACTGCCAGGACACCGATGCCACAGCAGTTTGTAATGGCCAGATGCTTAAGGAAGGCATTACCAGAGTTCTGTGTGGACAGTTCTCCAGCCATGATATCAGTGTTTGCCATAATCAAATTAAGAAAATGATCAGTCCTATTGATTCATGGAGAACTAGGACAGGAAAATGATCCATTGCAATTACCCAGCCCTTTCCAAACACACAGCTGAGGCTGGACTTCACTACAGACATGCTAAGTGTCCCAGTGGCTCTGTCTTCTCTCAGCTCCGTACACATCCCACTGAGGCGTAGCTGTGCTGCCAGGGCTTCTGTCCCACCACAGTGCCTTGCAAGCAAGCATTTTATTCATGAAGCAGAATAAAAGAGGAGCTGGAAAAGGCTAAGTGGGGGAAGCATGCTAGCAGGAAACCAAGGCCAGGGACTTGAGGTTTGGGGGCTCTGACAGCTGAGCTCAGAGGGCCATGGACCATCAGATACTACCCCTCACGTTCATGCTGTGTCCTCTCAGCTCCAATGTCCTCCCCTAAGTGGCCTCAGGTCATGCAGAGCCAGACACTCACTGCTAGCTGCCAGCACCTTTCAGTAGTGTTGGCCTCAGAAGCCCCAGCTAAGTGGGGGACCAGAATGTCTTTAAGGCAACCTCTGAGCCAGATGCATGATGCCCCCCAGTGGCTGGATTACTGAAATTCTCTTAAGTATGCCCAAGCATGTCTTTGTCAAAGATGCTGAAACAGGACTGAACTGGGCAAAGTCGCCCTCACCAGCTGCCTTGCGCCATGTCACCCTGTACCCACCTGCTTGCCCATGCCAGCCTTTTATCATCGTGGACAGTATTTAGGACATCTGCTTCCATCCTTTCTTTCAATATTAGTGCTAGGAGTAGAGAAAAACGTGTGACTGTTCATACTACAGTGTTAATGACTTAGCTTAAGGATATGCATGTTACTACATATGTGTGTTTTAAGGAAGTTTCAGCACACTGACTCCCCCAGTAGCTTCTAACCATGCTGACGAGGAAGGCAGAAATAGGAAATCTTGCATCTGTCCACCTCAGAGTCCAGTGAGCTGGGACTAAAGCAGACTTTCCGTAGCCATCACCAATCCAGTGGTCTAGGTTTAGACTCGTGTGCACTGCCACCCTTTTACACCATATTCCTAGATCTTCTTGCCACCTAACTTCCATTGGACATTAGAAAACTAAATTCCAATAAAGCCATGCCAATGTCCAAATTCCAAGGCATGCACATTGTTCTAAAAGCACCACTCTGTGTGTCCACACTTTCTTTCCCTCACATGCACACAGTCACACACACCCACACATGTGGCACAGCCTCAGGTGAACATGATTCTTCTCTCCCACAGTGTCAATGGCAGCATTTTCCACACTCCATGTACTCTGCACCTGCACTGCTGGGGAGGCCAAGGTGAGATGCCTCTCATGCCCAGTGCTACACAGAGTTCGAGGAAATAGAAATGCAGACATGATACCTGGGCTGGGCCACCCAAGGACACCGTCTGGGTCGTAGTCTGGGCTGCTGTCACCACAGCGGCCTGGCTCTCGGGACTCTGTGGAGAGTGTCTTGGAGCCACACAGCCCGAGAGGAAGGGCAGATGCTCCTGCAGAGCCAAGAGTCCCGACACGTGGCATGTGGCCTTCAGGGTGGTGCCAGGGGTCATCTATCGGAACTTGGATTGGGTTCTAGGCCCAGAGAGGGGTCTGTGTGTCCCTAATGAGATGATGCTGAGATAAGCTTCATTTTTGTAAGGGCAGATCCTTGTGATTATGTCATTAGTTTTGTACATGCAGAACCATGTCCTGAATATTGTCACATCCCTAAAGGTAGGAGAGCCGCCAGCCAGGTGACAAGGTTTCACAGTATATTCACCAGTGAGGGAATCCAGGGGATGGGGGGATTCGCCCTCACCAGCTGCCATCCTTAGCTCTGGGACAGCAAGTGACTGTCTGGGGATGTATGAGGTGCACATGGGTACACATGTGCACAAGTTCTGCAGGTGTCCCGTGTGGCCCAAATTGTGTGCAGAGGAAGGTTTGCAGAGAAGACTGTGTCCAGGGTCTCCCCCACTCACCACCACCCCCTCACAACTCCCTACCTCCCCCAACCCCCGCCCCTGCCCCCATAGCTCATCTCAGGAAGCCCTAGGCAGAATGATTAACCCCCAGCTGTGAGGGTTAGAAAAACCAGGTGAGAAGCCACATTATGATGACTGCTGGTGACCCTGACCACAGACGAAGTTGCCAGGTTAGAACAGGTCCTGGGTGGGCAGTGGGTGTGCTGTCAGGAACAGCCCCTGCGTAGCCTCTCCTGGGCAGGGCACCTTCCGGCCTACCCAGGGGCTGCTGGTTCTGTGTGGGCCACTTATGCCGTGTTTGGGGAAAGGAAGGGAAACAAGAGTTGGGAAAGCTTTCCATATTAGCTTTGTTTTCTTCTAACCAGCTTTCCCAGATTCTGTTTAAAGTTTCCAAAAGGATTACACTCCCTCCCCCTCTCCCCCCCCCCCCCCCCCCAGCACTTAGAAGCATTCACCCGATGGGTTTCAATATTGTGTGTCTTTCCAGAAAGAGAAGAAGAGTGGGCTGCTGAAACTTCTAGCCGGGGCATCCACCAAGAAGAAGAATCGCTCCCCACCGTCCATCTCTCCCACCCATGACCCCCATGTGGCAGTGGACGCCTCGCTCCAGGGTGCAGTGGGGCTCGAAGTGTCCTCATTGTCCCTCCATGGCCGGGCAGGGTCCTGCCCCATAGAGAGCAAGATTCAGGGGGCGATGGGAATGGAGCCACTGCACAGAAAGACGGGCTCCTTGGACCTGAACTTCTCCTCATCCCCTTCCAGGAAAGCCCCTTTCTCCATGGCTGCCGCCCGCCCTGAGCCCAAGCCATTTCCCAGAGAGAGGTAAGGCTGAGGGTCAGCTTGCATTCTCTAAAACCTTGCTGTGGGTTGATCTGTGAAGTCTGGAGCCACTTTTGGGGAGCAGGGACAGCGGGGATTTCCTGAGGATTAAATTGACTAGACACCCCTCACTAGCCAGGACTACTTGGGTCCTGACCTTGGAGGTGAGCATCGGATAAAACCAGTTTGGGAATAAATGGGAGCATATTTCATGTTCTGAATCCATCTGGGTCCTGAGTTTGGGATTTACAAGTGATTCATCAGGAAATTGTTCAGAACTGATGAGATACTGAGCCAAAGGGTGTAGAGAGGAGACTGTGTCCATCAATCCTGAGGAACCCCTGGAGTGGGCCGCTGGGCTAAGTCCCCACAGGCCTGTGTACCCCACACAGGAAGCAGTTTTTTGAAGTTTAGCCTACTCTGACATCTTAGAATTAAACATTACCCCAAATTGGCTTCAAGGACACACACAGACACACACACACACACACACACACACACACACTGTTGGGTTGAGCCACATGAAATTGCTAACATTCTTTTTTTTTTTTTTTACAAAACCAGCAATTTCATAGGGTTCAGCCTAGAGTCTGAGGAAACTGAGTCTAACTGAGGTGACGTGGTCCACGAGGCCATGTTTGTAGGGTGCCGGTGCTTGAATTTTACAAGAGGTCAGAGGATCAGATTCAAATAAGGATTGGGCTGTGGTGCGGAGAGAAGGGATGGCATCAGCTCAGGGTGATGGGGCTGTGGAGAGAGGGGATGGCATGTGCTCAGGGTGATGGGGCTGTGGAGAGAGGGGATGGCATGTGCTCAGGGTGATGGGGCTGTGGAGAGAGGGGATGGCATGTGCTCAGGGTGATGGGGCTGTGAAAGGGGATGGCATGTGCTTAGGGCGATGGGGCTGTGGAGAGAGGGGATGGCATCAGCTCAGGATAATGGTGCCATGGAGAGAGGTTTCACATGGGTCCGCTCAGCACACCTTTTCTAACAAGGTCCAGATAATAAGTGTTGCAGATGTTGCAGCTCACAGTCTCTGTTGCAATGCTCACCTCGCCACGAGGGCAAAAAGGCACCATATACATATGGAAACAATGGGGTGGGTGTTCCAGTAGACCCTACTATGGACACTGAAATTTAAAGTTCATGCGATTTTCTTGTGTCATGAAATATAATTCTTCTTTTGATTTTTTTTCAACTATTTCAAAATGTAACATTCTTAGCTGTCAGACCACACAAGTTAGGTGCAGGCCACAATTTGTCAACCCATGGTCTTGATGAAAGGATTTAGAGCTAAGCCATTGGGGTGGCATTGAGATCCTGAGCCACTGAGAACAAATCTCTCTCCAAGGTGGTGGAGGGACAACATGGGCCAGCAACTGCTGACTTCTGCTAAACAGTGAAAGTGTAAGTCTGTCTTTACACCTGCTTTTAGAATAACTAGGATTTGCAGAATGCTCTGTGCAGGGGTGATATTCAGAACCTTTACCAATTGATATGGATCCCAGCCATACACATCCAGGGCAGCCATGTGTACATGCAGCTTAACATCTGCCAGCACCTCAGTTCATCCCCTCAGTAACCCCATTTTATAGATGAGAAAACTGAGGTTTAGTAAAAGGCTGAGTAACTTGCTCACGATCACACATATGGTTCCATAACTAATGCCCTATCTCCCTGTGGGCAGCCACCCCAGCACCCTTCCCCTCCGCATGCTTGCCTCTGGCTCTCCTTGGCAATATTGCAGAGTGGCTCTGAGCAATAGGCACACTCACCATTTCACTCCAAATAAGGGTTTCTGGGGTTTTTTTGAGTTGCAGTTCCCCCATATATAAAATGGGGATAATAATACCTATCTGGTAGTTATAATATTTGTGAAAGCCTAGATTAATACCTGGAAAATTACGAATGCATAAACAATAGCAACAATAATAATATATGACATGATATATAATACTATTATATCATATAACATATATGTTAATCCATTTTTTATTGCCACCATCTCTTTTTCCATATGTTCACACACGTAGTTTGTCCATCCTCACTCTTGCTGGCCTGTACATTGTTTGGCTTCGTTAGGATGTAAAAGTTTTTGGCTTTGATGTATTGTGTGGCATGGTAGGTAGGATAATGACTCCCAAAGATGTCTGTGCCCTAATTACCCAAGTTGTGACTATATAACCCCCACATGGCAAAGAAGACTTCAATGTTGCAGAGGGAATAAAGATAGCTAACTATGGAGATTATTCCGTGTTATCCGAGTGAGCCTAGTGTGACCACCGGAGTCCTTATTAGTGGAAGAGGGAGGCAAAAGACAAGGTCAAAGGGATCTGACGGGAGAAAGACTCCCTCGCCCTTGCTGTCCTTGAAGATGGAGGAAGGGGCTCCCGGCCCAGGAATGCGGGCAGCTCTGAGGAGCTGGAACAGGCCGGGGCACAGTCTCTCCTGGAGCCTCCAGAGGAGCCGGCCCTGCTGAGACCCTGACTCTATCCCTGTGAGACTGTGAGATGACTTAATGAATCATGAGATAAGGAATTCGTGTTTTATTATGCCACTAAGTTTGAGGAAATGTGATATAGCAGCAATCGGCAACTGAAACACATGTTGATATTAGAGTGTGGTGTCCAGGGTATAGATGTGTCCTTAACATTTCCAAGTTCCTAGCAAGACACTGCTCTGTGATGACCACTCTCCAGTAACTTGGGGACCATGTGTCCCCCACAGTGCTGAAACCAGTGCTGCGGAAAGCCTGCCAGGCAAGGCCCCTTGTGGCCCCTGCTGTTGGGGGGGAGCAGATGACACAGGAAGAGGACACTCCAAACCTCACACACAAGGTTAACTGCAACATGCAGTGGTAAGAATTCATTCTGATTTTGAGCTTTTTTATTCCCTGAGTCTTATGTCTGAAAACTAACTGTGGGCGACATAACCTCATCTCAGCAGAGTTCTCACTGATGTAAGACGCGTGACCGGGAGGAGCTGCCGTCCTCCAGTGTGCCTGTAACAGGAAGTGCCAGTTACATCTGTGCAGCAGGAAGAATAGCTCAGAGTCTTGGAATGATCTGGACAGAAATGTTAAATGCCTGTCTCGGATATATTCCTCCCACATCACCCATCTAGGCTCATTAAACTATTTTATTGCTCAGAAGCACAAAAGTACTTTTTTCCCCTAACAAAGAACATTTTAAAATTTGCTTGTTTGTTTCACATCTGGCAAAAAAAACAAAACTTTTGTTCAGAGTTTGAGAAATAACTCACTCTTGCCTTTCTTTTCCTTGAGGAATTGAGAGGAGGCAGGTGTTTGGAAAGGAGGTGCGCGTGGCAGAAAGCCACAGGGAGGACCCAGGCTGGTCTTGGTGTTCGCACACACAGCCTGAGTGCTGGGGCCTGGGGACAGTGTGGTGTGTGCAGTACTGCCTGACCTCACAGGTCATCTGTCCTCCTCAGGGCGTGGCCTGCAGGCAGCTGTTTGCATCACTGGGCTGGGAGGAGGGTGGAACTTATATGCTCCTTTCTCTCCTCCTCCATATCCCCAAAGCCAGCTTTTGGCTCCCAGGGATGGCAGTGGAAGCTCGCCCAGCCACCTGTACCTGCAGCCACTCTGAGGCACTCAGCCTAGCTGGCCCGCCCCTGGGCCGCAGGAGCATGCATGCCTGTCACATAAACCGCGGGAGCCTCCTTCCTCTCCGCCCCAGCTTGCCTGCCTGGAACAGACGGTCTGTGTGTCCAGGGGCTGTGGGCACCGAGGCTGAGCCTGGGTCGTCATCCCAAACCCAGCCACTGCCCTGGACAAGGCTTGTCTGCTCCGCCCAGATGGGCCAGTACCCAGGCCTGTGAGCCAGTGGGGCTGAGTGAAGATGAAGTCTCCTCAATGTTTTCTTACTCAGCACCTTGATTCTCAGACATCAGTATGTAAAATTTATTTAAAATCTACATTCTTTGCCCCATCCCCGGCATCTCAGCAGGCAGGGACAGGATGGACGCAGAAATCTGGGCCCAGGTCCTGAAGTCTGTGAGCCACTCTGAGAAATGCAGACTTGGGATCTTTTGTTTTATAATGAATGTCCTGGTTTCATAAAGACCAGAATATACCAGGGAAAGGCTCCATATAGAACTATGAGCCCTCAGGACAGCCTGCTGCCATTTGTGTGGCTGTGGCTGAAGGGAGAAGGCAGGGTCGGGGGCGGAGGGCAGGCCTTTACTGCTGGCTGATGGCCCAAGGAAGACAAGGGTAAAAAAAGTCTCCCACCTTCCCCCACCCAGCCAGTGGACCTAGACCAGCCATGGGCAAACTACGGCCCGCGGGCCGGATCCGGCCTGTTTGAAATGAATAAAACTAAAAAAAAAAAAAGACCGTACCCTTTTATGTAATGATGTTTACTTTGAATTTATATTAGTTCACACAAACACTCCATCCATGCTTTTGTTCCGGCCCTCCGGTCCAGTTTAAGAACCCATTGTGGCCCTCGAGTCAAAAAGTTTGCCCACCCCTGGCCTAGACTGTGGCCCAGACACTGCAGGGAGAAGAGGACACAGGATAGTGTCTCCTCAGAGGCCCCTCTCTCCAGGTCAGGCCCTGGGCCTCTAGGCCACCACCACCATGCAGATCGCCAGGATTCTTCACTGCGTCCATCAATCCTGGGCTAAGTCCCCACAGGCCTGTGCACCCCATACAGGAAGCAGTTTCTTACTCAGCATCGAGGGGTCTCTGCAGCCTTCGGCTGGAGAAGGGAAGACAGGAGGCCCAGAAACAGTTTGGTGGGGAGGGGGGAGGGAGGATAGCAGTGGGGTGCATGTCATCATGTCACTCAGGGAGTGCAGGGTGCAGGGAGAGGGCCCAGGGCCCCCTGCACAGGAGCCACAGCACAGACCTGCTCTCCCCACCCAGCCCCGCACACACTTCCACTCCTGTCATCTTTTATGCCCACAGCAGAGGCATCATCGGGGCCTGGTCAGCTGCGACTATGAGCTGAACGGGGTAGCAGCTGTTTGCTGGGAGGCTGATGTGGATGGAGCTGCAGGTCCCACTGACCCACTGCCCACTGCCCAGCCTCTCCCTCGCCAGCAGCGGGGACTCCTGGCCCCCAGCTGGCCCTCCTCCACTTCTGCCCTCCCACTCCCCCAGCAGCCGCACCCTTCAACCGCCAGTCCCATTGTGGGCCTGCAACTCTCTCTGAGTCTCTTAGCAGAGGGACCCATGGCGAGGTCACAGGGAGAATGTGGTCGAGGGTGACTGGATGCATGCCCTTCCAGGTAGCCCAGGCTCAGCCCTCCTGGTCAGTGGAGGAACGATTACTGAGCATCTTGGCCTGGCCAGGCCGAGCACTCCCCAGCGCCTCAGCCTAACCCAAGTCTGTCGCAACCTTCAGCTAGGGGCATTAAGGGAGTGAGAGTGGCTACACCCTGCCTGCACCAAACCTGTGCACAGTTAGTACTTGGATTCTGTCCTGGAGCCCTGCTCCGGGTCCAGCTGGACAGACAGAGGGTGAAGGTCCAGTCCGATGTCAGCACACATGCCCCTGTGAGTTCCCTGAGGGGCGGGGAAGGTATAGGTGGCTGGAGTGGTGGGGGCAGGGCAATTCCTGTCAGGCTGGGACAGTGAGGGGTACGGGCACAAGGGCACCTGCTAGCTTGTCCTTGATGGTGTTTTAGAAGAAGGCTGGTCCTCAGATCGAGCACAGCTTCTTTTCAGCCTTCCTCCTCCTCCTCTGAGGCCTTGCGGACAGGTGTGAGTGTGGGATGTATGCCAGACCTGCCCTGTGCTGACACTAGGGCTCTTGGCAAGATGCCGGGAGGGGCAGACCACTGTCTCAGATCCAGGAGCTGTCAGGGCAGCTCTTAGGTTTAGCACCTGGTGTGCACCCGACCGGGTACCTGCTGAGCCTCTCAGGCCCTCAGAGGTCTGTGCTTGGTCTGGTTGGAGCTCAGGCCACAGGACCCCTCCAGGTGCCCTGCCCGCAGGTCGTGTCACCACTGGGATCATATGTCATGTTGGTCTGAAAATGAAGGGTGAAGAGTTCAAAGGCCACAGGGAGGGCCAGGTTTGCAGGAATAAGGTGTGAAACCCGGGGCCTTGTTTATGAAGGGATCTCAGAGGCGCTGAGGGCACAGGGTCAGGGTCCTGTGCCATGATGGGGACACGGCCACCAGTCTTGCCCCTGCCACCGGGAGGCCGAGGTTTGAGGTGGCCTGAGGGAGGATGGCTCGGAGAGGCCGCATGTGGGTGGAAACATCCCAGCTGCCTGGATCAGGGGCTAAAAGGCATCACAGGGAAAGGCTACTATCAAATTTTTAATAAAAATGAAAAAAAAATTTAAGTGGGAAAAGTAGCCCCAAATTACAACAATGTTCCAGAGGGGAAAAGGAAAAGAAAAGAGCAATCTTGCCAGCAGACAGCGGGCCACCCTGGGTCATTCTCAGCCTTCTGGGTCAGGCTCACCCACTGTGGTGTCTGTCCCCCCTTCAGGTACCGTGTCGTGGTCTCGTACCCGCCCCAGAGCGAGGCAGAGATAGAGCTGAAGGAGGGAGACATTGTCTTTGTGCACAAGAAGCGTGAGGACGGCTGGTACAAGGGGACCCTGCAGAGGAACGGCCGCACGGGCCTCTTCCCGGGCAGCTTCGTCGAGAGCTTCTGAGGACACTCTCCACACGCCACTCACCAGGGAGAAGGCCTTCTGGGAAGCCCAAGGCGCCAGAAGAGGGCCACCACTCCCCCAGGCCTCAGGTCCCTTCCAAGGCCCCTGCAGGTTGTGGGGGCCGTGCCTTCACCCACAACCCCCAACCGAGAGCACATCTTGGGGTTGTTCTTGGATGAGATGCCTGCCACCCCGTGTGAACCGTAGAGAAGTGAGTTAGGAGGAGGAAGATGCTGCCTGGGTGGCTCCCCGAGGTGGCTCCCCGAGGTGGCTCCTCGAGGTGGCTCACTGTGCAGGGCTGCGGAGCACAGAATGTCTTCATGGGCTGTCTGGGCTGCAGGTGGGGTCCAAATTGCTTCATTGCCTCTCTTTATACCTCAGTCGCCTGCCACCTGCCCAGCCCCTGGGAAAGCCTGGCTGTGCAGCCTGTGGGACTCCCACAGCTCCCATGGCTGGTCCCCATCAGCATTAGGAACAACACTTCTGTTGGCCACTGTCCCTTTGCATTGCTTCTTTCTCACATCTTTTTAATGTAAAGCTATTAGACTTTATATATTTCTAATCGGTCATACATTGCCTATTTTTCATACATCTGGTGCTGCCTTTTTGTAATGACTTGGTTGAGTTTGAAAGAAAAAATGTCCGAGGAAACATCAAATGGGCAGAATTTTTATATTTACTATATGAACTTTGGAGAAATCCAGAAATCCCACGTCTCAACACCACAATGCCCTGCACCACGGGATAAGAGGGAATCCATTTAGGGGATTCAAGGTAGTTTGGAAAAAGCCAATTTCTTTCAACCTTTACCAAAGCCCCATGCTCTGTCTAGACAGTATAATTGTTACTCAAGAACATGCAACTTCAGGGAAAGTGGCTATAATCGCCTTTTGTGTGGCAGTGAAAGGGGCATGAAGGTGGACCCACCCTGAAAAAGCGGAATTTCCCTCTTACTGCTTTAGCAAGAGTGACAACAATTCGCTTATCAAAATATGATTTATCACTATTGAAATGGGCAGTTTTTACCCCAGTTCAGATGTAAACCTCCACAATTTATAAGACCTGGTGAAGGTCTTGCCTTTTTACAGTATATAATTGCTCCCTTGTCGGGCAGTGTGAACCTGGGTGTAGAGACTGGAGGTCCATGGGGTAGCAGGAGTGAGTCCTCTGCAGATGGGGGGCTGGGAGCTGGGAGTGGCGGGGGGAGAGGTGGAAGGGCAGCTCCGACCCTGGGCCCCCACAGGTGGGGTCCAGGACACAGCTCATCTCCACAGATGCTGCCTCCCGGAGCCCTGTCACAAGGCGATCTTGTTTTCAAGAGACTCACACCTTAGGAATATATTCTTATCTGTCCAGAGTCACAACTTGTAAACTCTCTCTATACATTTTTACAGATCACTCAGGTTTAAATTAGGCTGAATAATGAGCCTTTGGTAACACTCGCCCTGATTTTTAGGGATGCAATGAAATCCAGAAACCCATTCCCTCGCCTGGGGTGATGCCTCTGAAATACAAACACTTATTTTCAGAGTTCCTATTTGGGGATGTGACTGGGATATTTGTTACTGCCAGGTGGCTACCAGGCTGGTGGCATTGTTCCTATAGCAAGGCTCATTTCCTTGCTGGTAATATATTTAATAGGCTTGAGAAAGTTCTTCTAAATCAAGAAAATAAAAGCAGTTTAAATACAGGGAGCCCTGGGCTCAAGTTAATGGCGACCATCAGTTGCCAACTTAGCTGCCTACCTTGCACATCAATCGTGTGCATGCTTCAAATCATGTCATTGCCAAAAACATGCTGGCTGAGGCAGGTATTCTCCACTGAGACCAGAACTAACTCCAATTCCCACAGAATAAGAAGAGCAAAAAAAACCGACAGCAGTTATCATGCAACAGAATAGACTAACTTGGACCTTCTTTCCTTTCCTGCCACCACCCACGTGGTGCTCTGGTTGACAGAAGTGCTGAGCAGCTCAGTGACTGTGGGGGAAGCAGCAGCCATGGGGCCAGCACCCCTCACAGCAGTGTGTTTGCAAGGCATCAGCTGGCCCAGCTCAAGGCAGACTCAGGGGTGGCCATTGGGACTGACTTGAGAAGTGATGCCCCCCAGCCAGGCACCCTCTCAGGAGGGGCTCTCAGGGCAAATGCCGGGCACTCAGAGGGCAGGCAGGTGCACAACAGGCCCCATGCTTTAGGCTGAGTGTTTCCAAACATGTTCAGTCAGACCCATCAGCCTTCATGACCATTTAATCCGCAGACAAGAGCGGGAGCAGGCTTAGATGCTTCCTTCAGGCCATCTTGCCTCAAAGGACACGCTCCTTTTGTTTTCTAAGGTGAAACAATACCTTGTCTGAAACCCTCACATTCCCTCCTGGCCCAGAGACTTACTCAAGTTGGGTGCACAGTGGCATTTGGCAGGCAAGGTGACTTGCTTTGAGGAGCACAGTGAAGTCCACGGCCACCACTGAGGGAGGTCACCGAGGTGTTGGGGACATGGGGCCACCAGAGGACCGTGGGAGGGATGTGGTGAGACAGAGCTGGACAAGAGCCCCCTGATTCTAGTGCCCCAAATAAGCTCAGTGGCCCAGCTGGGAATTATTTGTACTTTGCACAATTCTCACACACACACCCTAATGTTTTTGTTAAACACAAATGTCAGTGTGTGACTTCGGAAGAACTTACAGTGATGACAAACTATAATGCTGTGTTTCTGAGTCTTTAAATAAAAAATGAACATGGAGAGGTCTTGTGTCTGGTGGTAGGAACAGTGAGGGTGGGGCAGGGGCTGAGAGGGCCTGAGCAGAAACACCAGCTGGGTAGGGGAACTGAGCAGGCACCACCCGTGTCCCCACTGGTGCACACTCCTGTCACCTCAGAGTGCTCCCTGGTGGGATACATGGGGTCTGTGTCAGGGTGAGGGGCCACTGAGGAGAGGAGGAGATCAGACAGCCGACCTAGCATACATGCCAGAGAACCACTGGCTGGGCGGCGAGAACCGAGCCACAGGCTGGCTGGGCATAAAAGACCCCAGCTCCTCCAAAGCTCGTGTGCCCAACAGCTCTGCTCCTGTGACTTCCTGCAGGTGACTCACATTCCTTTCTTGTGGGAAAGCTTTTCATGTCAGTAGTTATTCAGGTTTCTAGCAACCAGGAGTGGCTGATATTGACCTCCCAGACTAGGAGTGGCTAGTGCTGACCTCCCAGACCAACACTCTCACCACCCTGCTCTTGTCTGTCTGGCCCTTGGGGTGCCCGGGCTTTCTGCATCACAGGGTAGAGGGTGCCTCAAAGTCACCAACAGGAGGGACTTGAATGACTGTCAACCTCCAGAAAGGTGGGCCTGACCCAAATCGCCCAGACAGACTATTGCTGGGCTGAGAGCTGACACGTCAGGTGTTTTCTGAAATAAGCTTTCTTTGCCTGCTCAGGCACAGGAGTGCCTACATTCTTTGACTATCATATATATGTTTGAGCTGGAAAGAAGCTTAGCAAAGAACCATTTCACTCTTCTGTAAACATTCAGTGAACGTGTATAAGACCAGATACCATATCTTGAGTTATGGGTGAGGAGAATGGTGAGGAATGAAGCATATCTCAGGCTCACCTCCTCTCCCAATAAGACTGGTTGAAAGATGCTCTTATCCTCACTTGCTACATGAGCGATCAAGGTTAGAAGAGGTTGAATTAATTGCTCCAGATCACATAGTTCATGGGACTCAAGTTCAAGTCTACTTTTATTTTATTTTGTTTTTAGCATGGGTCACTTTTAGAGAGGGAACAGTCTATGTAAATTCCCAGAGGGGCCAGAGAGAGCTTGGTTATAACTGGGGGACCAGGAAGGGAAGGGGAGGGGAAGGAGAATGGGCAGGGAAGCAGGGGCATCCTTCTAGGCAAAAGGCAAAAGGAAACCTTTACAGAGTTCTAAGATGGAGGCCGATGCAACCCTGTCTGTATTTTAAAGCTCCTTGTGGAGGGGAGTGGCTGTGAGGAGCCAGTGAGGTAGCTGCTGCAGGGGCCCAGGGCGGTGCCAAGGCCTGGAGAGACTGGGCAGACCTGAAGGGCCTCCGGGATAAGCCAGTGTGGAGACCAAGGCGAAAGGGCATCTGTGTGAGATGTGGAGGGAGGGAGGGAGGGAG